CTGGCCTAAATTGATGCAAAGGAAGCAAGCTGCATCTCCTAAACTGTCCTGTTTCCTCTTCAGGGACAGCGTCATCATCAGCATCACCAACTGTGCTACCAGCGTCTATGCTGGCTTCGTCATCTTCTCTATCCTAGGCTTCATGGCCAATCACCTGGGTGTGGATGTGTCACGAGTGGCAGACCATGGGCCTGGGCTAGCTTTCGTAGCTTACCCTGAGGCTCTCACACTGCTTCCCATCTCCCCACTCTGGTCCTTACTGTTTTTCTTCATGCTCATCTTGCTGGGGCTGGGTACTCAGGTATGACCTGTGTGTGTGTGTGTGTGTGTGTGTTGGGAGGGGTGCTGGCAGCTTGGGCAGGAGGAGCTGGGACAAAGTGCAGGCCCTTATTCTGATAGCTGTGGCTGTAGTTCTGCCTCCTAGAGACCCTAGTCACTGCCATTGTGGATGAGGTGGGGAACGAGTGGATTCTGCAGAAAAAGACTTACGTGACCTTGGGTGTAGCCGTGGCTGGTTTCTTGCTGGGCATCCCCCTTACCAGCCAGGTAAGAATGGAGATGTGGGGGTGAGGTGGGGCTGCACTTGCCAGGCACTTGGGAGTGGGTGAGTAGTGAGTACCCTGGTCAGTAGCACCCTGGCTCACCTGTCCACTGGCCCACAGGCAGGCATCTACTGGCTGCTGCTGATGGACAACTATGCAGCTAGCTTCTCCTTGGTTGTCATTTCCTGCATCATGTGTGTATCCATCATGTACATCTATGGTGAGTGTCCTTGTCTTGGACTGGCTCACTCTGTTCTCCTGAGCTGCTGCTGATATTCCCCCTCAACCCTCTCCACCCCTTCCTCATCTCTCCAGGACACCGAAACTACTTCCAGGACATCCAGATGATGCTGGGGTTTCCACCTCCTCTCTTCTTCCAGATCTGTTGGCGCTTTGTCTCTCCGGCTATCATCTTTGTAAGTTCCTTGGGGGCCCTCCCAGGTAGCTCTGACTTTGGGCATCTAGGAGGCTCGGCTAGTCAGATGTGTGCACACTTAGAGGTGCCAGGTCCTGGCTTTGGGATAGAAAGTGGATATTGAGCCCTTTGTTTGACTGCACATGCTCAGAGCTGCACCATCAGGGATGTCACTCCCTGGCATTACTGTCCAGCTGCCTCCAAGGGGCCTCTGGAGTCATTGATATCAGTGTGGCTTCTGTCTACCTGACTGTTCATACCTGCCCCCAAGCAGGGAGACACATGGGAATGTGGCAACATTCCTCGGCATCCCCAGGACCTGTGGGTGCAGGGCTAGGAGCCAGGTCGGCTCTATGATGGAGGCCACTTCCTAAGCCTCCAAAGGCTGGGAAGTTGGATGGATTTGAAGGGAGAACACCCATTTCTTTAAACGCCTAGAATCAGGGACACTGATGCTTTAAACCCATCAGAACACTGTACTGCTGGTCCTTCCTCCACCCTGGTCACATGTTAACTTAAGCAACACCTCTCTGGATTATCAGTTCTCCCCACTCCAAGGCACAGTGGTGTTAAGCCCACCACCACACACTTAATAAGGGGCAAGGACCCTGCTGCAGGTCTGTGTGCCATAGGCAACCATGCTCCAGCGGAACGGCCTGTGGGCTAAAACAGGCTCATTTTGCTGCTTCTGTGTGAAGTGGGGGTGGGGTTGAGGGTGATTAATGGCACAATAGTCATATATGAGCAGAGAGTCAGAGGACTCAGTGGCAAGGCAGTGTCCAGAGCTACCCGTGTCTTGCTCAGTTCCTCAGAATTATGGAGAACTCTATACCAGACTTCCACACTGGCTCATGTTTCTGAAAAAAAGGTCCCTGGAGGACCGAGGCCTCTACCACATAGGGTGTGGGATGTTCCTGGGCCTGGCACAGACAACAGTTCTGGCCACAGGCCCAGCATTGAAACAGGAGGAGCGGAAGTCTCCTTTCAAGGCTGAGAGGCCAGAGAGGGCTGGAACCAGTGCCCAGCACCATGCCTTCTGGGGGTGTGGCATTGGCCCAGAACCAGGACACTGTCTCCTGAGGGCAGGGAGGCTGTCCTCTAGTACCTGGAGTTATCCACCAAGGGCCTGAGTCCTGTGGATCTCTAGGCAGAGAGATCGAGTGAAGCGGGCAGTGCCCAGAAAGCTGGGCTGGAGGTGTCTTAAGGTGAAGAATTCAGGCTGTGTAGACATATTTCTCTTTGGGGCTTTATGTGCCTGTGACAGCTCTTCTTGACAAACCCCATCCTTCTATAACTCCAGTGAAGGAATTCATCCTCACATATGTCAGGCTTTAAGCCAGGTATGGTTGCACTCGAATTTAATCTCAGCACTGGGGAGGCAAGAGGCAGGGGCAAGCTAGTATCTGAATTTGAGGCCAGCCTGGTCTACATATGGAGTTTTAGGTTAGCTAGGGTGATGCAAGTGAGACCCTGTCTCAAAAAAAAAAAGCAAACACACACACACATATACATACACACACGCACGCACACGCAAAACCCACTAAATAAGCGTGTACACACCATGTATGGGGCCCTAGGAAGGATGTCCTGGGTTCAACGTGGGAAAGGTCAGAGGTGCTTAAACTCCAGGATGCCCCTACAGGCTGAGACACGTTGAGTCCTTCCACAGGCCCTCTTTGGGTGTGGCCTATGAGCCACCTAGCCAAGTCTCCTGTTTCTTTTAGATTCTTAGCTTGCCTCATCCACCTCTTTCCAAAAAGGTGTGTGTCTACTACTGGACACTCGGCATTTGCAGCCTCTAGGCACTCTCCAGGCTGACTGTCACTTGTTACCACAGCCACAGTGAGGCAAGACCTTACCTGGCTTGCTCCTTGACCCTCTTCCCAATGTGAGCATCTCCTGGTACTCAGCTCACACGGATGAATAAGCTTGTGCAAGGCCCCTTAGGCCCAGAGTTGACGCAGTCGTCTCAGGTGCTCAGACCGTGCAAAATAGGAAGCAGAGTGGCTTTGAGTTAAACAGATGGAAGATGCCATGGAGAGAGGCCTTTTAGGAGGCAGAAAATCCAGAAAGGCTTCCTGAAAGAGGTGGCACTGGCTTGACGGGGATGCTGAGGGTGGGTCTGCAGTAACAGAGGAGGCAAGACGTTCTGGCTGTGGCAAGAGCCTAAGGGAGGGAGATGTGGCCAGCAAGATCAGGTCACCAGGCAGCACTGAAGCCTAGGGCTAGGGACTTGTCCTCCTCTCTCTAGGCAGTACAGGGCTGAGAGACAACGGCTGCTTTTCAAAGGTGGCAGCAGCTTGCTTGTTCTCTGCCAGTTCAGGACTGGCAAAAACAGGTTACCTCTTTCCGTTTATGGTGCCTCCATGCCCAGCCCTTCCCTGGGGTCCTACTTCTTTTACACAGGTGTTGGTATTTGCCTGTGCCAGAGCCAAAAACACCTTTTGCTGGCCTGGGAGTCCAGAGAGGAAAGGTTGCTGCGCGGAGGGCAAGCCTGGGGTCCAGGAGGGGCTCTGTCCCCTCACATCATCCTCTCTACCCTCAACAGTTCATTCTCATCTTCACGGTGATCCAGTACCGGCCAATCACCTACAACCACTACCAGTACCCAGGCTGGGCGGTGGCCATCGGCTTCCTCATGGCTTTGTCGTCTGTCATCTGCATCCCATTGTATGCGCTGTTCCAGCTCTGCCGCACAGATGGGGACACACTTCTTCAGGTGAGGAGTGAAGATGGGCTGGGCTGGACGGGCAGGCGAAGTGAAAACACTTCGAGCATAAGGGCTCTCTTCTGACACACTTTTCATTGCGCCCCCTGGCTGCAGCGTTTGAAAAATGCCACAAAGCCAAGCAGAGACTGGGGCCCTGCCCTCCTGGAGCACCGGACTGGGCGCTATGCCCCCACTACAACCCCCTCTCCTGAAGATGGGTTTGAGGTCCAGCCACTGCACCCGGACAAGGCCCAGATCCCCATTGTGGGCAGTAATGGCGCCAGCCGCCTCCAGGACTCCCGGATATGAGCACAGTTGCTGCAAGGGGAAAAGCCCCACCCAACCCTTGCTCCCACCACAGAGACTGGGGAGGCGGTGGACAGGTGGAGGCCTGCCCCATCATGCCCTGGCCAGGATGACTGCTGTCACCTTGGCCACCACTGCTCATGTCCCCAGTGTTTACACATCCTTTGGATGCCAAGACAGCAGCTGGGGGTGGGAAAGCGATGGGGGATTGTGTGGGGGTGGGACATGGGGCAGCAGTGTCCAAAGCACTTTGAAGGAGGTCTCAGGCCAGGTCCCAGAGGCCTGCCAGGCTTCATATGGCCTCCGATACCTTCATGCTCTGCCCTGAGCTGTTTCACTATGGGATAAGAGGTTCTGTGTCCACACCCCACCGGTTCCCCTCCAGCCTCATGACCAGTGTTCCTGACCCTAGCCTCTGCCCAGGCAAATCTGTATCTTCCTACTCCGGACAAGGTGAGGGCTGCGGAGCTGTACAGTGTTACTTGTTGGACTGTGCCACTCAGCCCTGTTTGTGTAATTATTTTTTTAAAAATTGTATTACCTGTGGTTGCCACCCCCTGCCCCAGCCTTGGGTCCAGTCTGTCTTCCAGGCCTGTCTGCACCTCACTTGGCTGCTCCAGGGTCTCTGTCCTTTGTTCCAACCCTGCTTGTCAGGCCCAGCCAGCAAAGGCCAGGACCCAGCAGCCTGCCCAAAGCACTTGTTTATGGAGGGAAAGAAGGGGACTTCTCTGTAGGAAGTTTGAGCCCTGGGGAAGGGAACCCTGCACGACATTCCCTTGCCTATCCTCCACCAGGTTGAAGGCCCAGTCTTCCCAGACGTGCTAACCCCCATTCAATGTGCCAAATGGCCCCAGTCCATGTGCCCGTTCCCCCCCGCCCCCGCAGCCAGAGCACCTTCTCCCAAGACCCGCAGTCTGTTTGTCCATCCTCTGTGCCCTCTGCAGTGATAGCCCTGGCCAAGCCACTTCTAATCCTCTGTAGCAATAACGGTGTGCCACCCGCTGCTGCCCAGTGTGCAGCACTAGGGTTTTAAAGTCCATAGGTTTTAATGAAATTTCTATTCCTGTCTCTGAGCTGCTGATGTGCTTTGTCTGGGTCCCTAGGGGACAAAAGTCAAGCTGGGATGGGACCTCTGTCCTCCAAGCCTCTGTGGAGGCTTATGTGGAGAAGGGGCCAAAGGCTTTGATGGTTAGAACAGGTGTCCTGCCACTCAGTTCTAGATAGCAGTGACCTGAACAAGGGGTGGGGCTGGGACCAGACCAACACACAGCTTGGGGGGTATGGGGGACATGTGAGCTCATCAGAGAATGAAGCAGAAACGGAGCTGTGGCAGCTGGAGGCAACAACAGATGGGCGAGTCTCAGCAGAAGCCTGTTTTGTGAGCAGCCCCTTCAGGTCGGTGCCTGGGATGCTGCACTGGAAACTGATGTGGAAGTTGTCTCTTTGCAATAGCTGTACCGAAGTTGCCGTCCCCAGCGGCGGGTGCTTGCCTGACCTTGAGGGTGGGGACAGTGCTCCGAAGGAGGTGTAGGCATGTAGCCATGGAGACAAGGGAAGGGTCTAAGGCCAGGAATGGAGGACCTCAAAGGCTTCTGCCTGCACAGGATGAGTAGATGTGAGGTGACCATGATCTGAGCTTCACTCTACACTGCCCACCCTGTGTCTTGATGTACCTGTGCTGGACAGCGAGACAGGAAGGCCCCAGAGAGACCTGTAGCTCCCGTTCCATGGCCTTCTTCTGATCCTTTATCTCTGTGGAAGGGCACAGCTGAAATAGTACCTGGCTCTTCTAGAGTTTATACAGTAGTATGTACAGTATGGGGTAAAGGGAGGGGACTGGGTGCCCTGGGGGCTCATCTGGGGTCCTTACCTCCCAGGGTGGGCATTAGAGTATCCTTGGAGGGCTGGCAAGCCTGCATCTGTTCCATTTCCAGACAGTGCTGTGGAGAGAACTGTTTCAGTGGCCTTGCCTAAAGTTAAGAGACCAAGAGCCTGAGTATGGGGCTCAGGAATAAGACCATGGAGCCTCTTGGCCTAACTATCCTAAGAGTATAGCCTGTGGAAAGCCTGGCTTAGCAAGATGACAGCTAGGCATGACTCTGACCTAAGTGAAAGGATGCAGGAGACCTCGGGCTGTCAAGTGGATTAGTCTAAAACTGCCAACCACGGCTTGATAGGAGAAATGGGTGTAGGACTCACGACCGTGATATGCACATATATACAGACACACAGACATGATCCCTGCTAAGCAGAGAAGCTGGGGGAAGGCCAAGGTCTGTGCTCACCTGCAGCTCAGAGATCTCTTTCTGCAGCATGTGACACTCCTCCTCCAGGAGGTTTCTAGACAGGAACATGAACAGCCAGAGCCAATGAGGCAGGACCTACCTAGCTGAACCTACTACACGGCCCCAACCTCCTGAACCACCAGAGCCAAGACAGCTTCTCCATCCCCAGGCTACATTGTCCTCTGGATGTTGCCTTCCAGCCCCCACATTTTCCAGTCACTTCAGTATTTGCACCCCCACAAGCACTGTATCTTCTGCAGCCTGGCACTGGGGCCTGTGGTTCATCCATTAGCCCCGTATCACAGCTTATAACCCTCCCTTGGCTTACCTTGTACCAGGCTGAAATCCTAGGACTGGCCCTGCCTGGTCCCTGTAACTGGCTACTTGGTGGTATTGTAGCAGCTCCACTAACTGCTCACCTCAGATACACACACACACACACACACACACACACACACACACAGAGTCTACCTACCTGGCATACTATTTATTTCAGGCCGCCCCAGCCCCTTAATCTCCATTCCTACATTTTGTCCCCAGTCTATACACTCAGGTGCCCCTAGGCCTCACCTCAGGTGTCTGACAATCTGGTCAATGTTAGACACATTCAGTTGGTCCTTGATGATAGTGAGGTCCCTGGGACAGCTGGTGACAGGTGAAGTTAGCATCACCCTCTCTGTGTTGTTCATTCTAGTCCTTCAGGGAACAAATGCCACTTCTAGAGCCTTTTGGTTTTTCTCACGCAGGCAACATAACAGAGTGCAAACAATAGTCCCAGACCCCAGGCTTGCACCTGGTATTTCTGCCACCTTCACCATGTGGCTTCAGGGAAATTGTTCTTTTGAGCATTCATTCTCTCACCTGAAACTCTGGAGACAATGCTCAGCTTATAGGATTGTGGGAGGATTTGAATAAGAAATTGGCAATGGTCTACTTATGAACATAAGGACATTCATTTCTCTCTGTCCCCAGCTGAGAATATCAGTGTCACCTCTCAGCATTCCTGTACCTCCAGCCCAAGCCCTCAGTCTGCTCTGCTAGGCCTGAGAAGAACTGCTCACTGGACATGGCCTCCTGTCCTTCCCCCTGCCCCCTGCCTGCAAAACCTCTCTTTTATCTGCTTGGAAAACTACTCCCTGCCACCAAGATGGGCAGGTGTCCCCTAAGGACTTTTAGCCCTTATGTGCCGACCCCTATCACAAGTGGCTACAAGAGCGTCCAGTCCGCATTGGGTAGCCTCTGTCTTTACCTGGGCTCACCGGCTCTCATCGGGAATAGTTCCTGTTGCATTGACTCACACCCGGGCTCCTCTAGGGCAAAACGAAGGACCCTGGGACTGTACTGGGCCCACATCTGGGTCTGGTCCCTGAAAACATGTACACGAAGGGACTTGAGGACCTCCTTTTAGGAAACCCCAGGAAAGGTCACCCTGGCTCTTTATCAGGGGCAGCCTTATCTGGTGTCTGGGCAAGGAGGCCATGGCTGAGAACCCCACCTGCCCTCACTGATAGCCTTAAGGCGGAGGCCTTGGAGTAACTGTCGGAGTTCTTGGCGCATGAGGTCCCTCAGGAGGGGGGGTGGTGCCAGTAGGGAGGGAGAGTCAGAGTTGGAAACTTGAGAGGACTGGATCTCTTGGAGCAGCGCCTTTAGCATCACCACCTGTAAGGAGAGCTGGGGTACCTTGCCACTGGGGCAGAGGGGATGGGTTTGTGTGTGTTGGTTGGGGGTTGTCAAGGGATGAGAGGAGATAAACAGAAGAGAGCAAGGGCAGACAGTGAGATCAAGGTGTTAGGGGGTCACCAAATAGGGCTAGGGACCTTGTGGTGGTGGGAAATCATGTGAGTTGAAGGGCAGGCCTGGAATGTGACCCACCCCCACCCACCGGACTCCCACCTCCTCTCGCAACTCCAGGCTCAGGTCCACTGCTGCCTCTCCCAGAATCTTCTTCACCTCAGGCCGCTCCGGGAGTGGAACATGCTCCTCCACCAGCTCCCATAGTGCTGGGGAGTCCCCAGGCATGGCCTGCGTGGGTTGCGGTCCTCTGATCAGAAAGACCTACAGGCCGGACTGCCCGCAGGTCAGAGTGCTAGATTTCCTGGGAGACGGATGGTTGCTCTGGACCAGAGCCACGCCCACCAAACCCCTCCAGCTGACATCGATACCCCGCCCCTTTCTGCTTCTGTCCCTACACCAGAATTGCGGAATTGCGCTGTCTTTTGGTGGCCTACTATGGGCAGACCCTTCAGGGTGCTGGATCCTGGCCTCTTCTGGGGTTAGCCTGGCTGTGGGAATCCGGCCTTAGCCCCTCCCCTCCTAAGAGTCGGTCACCTGGGAAACCATCGCGCCCTGGGATCAGCCCTCGAAAGAGGCCCTGCCCTGCCCGCAGTGGCTGAGCACCCTGTGCTTATCCCAAGACCTTTCTGCCTCTGAGGGAGAAGAGCTGAGAAATCCGGCCCCGTTGGTTCGCTATTTCCTTATCCCTACTAGTCTGAAAGCAGTGTCAAGATAAAACATTTTCCCTAGAACCGCGGAAGTAACGGGCTAGGAAATTAGTTAAGTCACTAGAAGACCCTAGCCAGGTCACCTCCCACAACACAAACTAGCTTCAGGGAACCGGAGCCCGTTCACAAAGAGACAAGGAGCTGCTCCGTTAATGTTTTTTACTAAAGCACCCACACAAGTTTCTGTGCAACATATAAACAAGAGCAGGCCCTGGGGCGTCTGCCTCCTCTCTAAGGGAGGGAGGCCAGAACCATTGACTGATCCAGGCCCCACCTGTCTCCCATGCAAAGGCCAACCCCATGATCCCAGGAAACAACACAGCACCCCTTCTGGTCCCCTCCTGGGGGCGCTCCTCAGTAGGTGGCTCACCAAAGCCCCCTACAATGTTGAATGAAAAAGGTTTCCCCTCCCCTGGAAGCATGAGGGGTCTCCAGATCTGAGAATTCCCCTGGAAGAGACACTGCCCCCTAGTCAAACCTCCCACCTTTCCAGGCCCTAGGGGACTCAAGGGGAGTGGGGAAACTGAGGCACAGAGAGGTGGAGTGACCTAGCCCAGGCCACTCCGCGAGGCAGTGCAGGGGCTGGCCCAACCCTAACAGTGAGGAGGTTTGGGCTGGGAAAAGTAGGACAGGAAGAAGGGTTGACCCCAGAGGGCCATAAGAGGGGCTTGCCCAAACGCCCCTCAAAGTGAGTTCTGAAACTTCTAGGTGCAGCTGGCTATTAAGACTCAGAAAACAGCTCACAGTCTCTGTCTTGGGGACACCCCTAGAGCAGCTGTCAGCCAGGCTGTAGGTCAGTCCTCTGGCAGGCAGTCTTCCATACCAGAAGGGCATGGAGGGGCTCTGTCCATGAGTGTCAGCCTTGAGTGAGCCATGACATGGGCTGTCCAATGTCCACTGTGATGTTGGTGAAGAGTGGCTGCCGAGACACTTCCAAGACGCGGTACCGCACCGACCCAATGCCGTCCCACTTCATGCTCATCTTTGTGTTTTGAATCTTATTAAACCTAGAAAAGGAGACGAGCTCAGATCAAGGCTAACAGTCTCTGCTCAATCCTGAATCTCTGCGGTCAAGGCACAGGCCATCCTCTCCCTTCAGGGAATAGAGACCTCAGCCCCTTCAGTCAGAAAGCTTAACAACCACCTCACAGGTCTCTCTGTTCAGACCTCCACTGTGTGTGTGTGTGTGTGTGTGTGTGTGTGTGTGTGTGTGTGTGTGTGTATTTTATTTCCCTGTGAGTACCTTTACTCGCTGTACTATCTTGCTGGCTGGACTCTAGTATTCGAGGCATCCCACATGTACCCCCAATACAGTCTCTGTCCCCCGAGGGACATGTCATCTTCCCTCCAACCCTTGTCATCTTGTTTCTCTTTCATCGTTCACTCCTTCCATCTTCACTCCCGGATGCCAGACTGTACTCTGAGCAACAGGGACACAGCCGTGAACAGAACATGCAAGGTCCTTCCTCTCATGGCAAGTCTGCTTCACTAAGGGAGACGAGGCAAAAGAGCCATCAGAGTGCTATGGGTATGAGGATGTGACACTAAGCTGAAGGCAGAGGGAGAGCATTTCTTGCAGAGGTCGATAAAGGGAAAACAGACTAGCCTGTTGGTTAGCGCATGTATGAGCAGGACTCTGTATGTCATAATGAGTAGTTCATATTCCATGAGCAGGAAGACACCAAGGGCTTCTTAACCCAGTTTCGGCAGAAGGGTGGGATAGCCAGGGGGAGGCAGGAAAACCCTTGCAGTCACCAGGGTAAGACCACAGCGACCAGACACGGTAAAGGTGAAGGGGAAAGCAGACAGGTTCAAATGCTTTGCAGGTGGTCCTGCCATGCCCTGCTGATGATCTCAACATGCAGGGTAGGAGAAAGAATCCTAAGTTTTGTTTTGTTTTTGTTTTTCAAGACACTGTTTCTCTGTGTGGCCTTGGATGTCCTAGAACTCTCTCTGTAGACCAGGCTGGCCTTTAACTCATAGAGATCTGCCTGGCTCTGGCTCCCTGCCGGTCTGACTGCTGGGATTAAAGGCGTGTACCACCACCGCCTGTCCCCAGGATAACTTTTAAGTATGAGGCACATTATTAGAACTGACTTCCTTAGCCCAGAAATTTCATGTCTAGCCACATCCACAACTCCACAGACATCACTAACTGATGACTAGTCGATCCTGAATGACCAAGGGTTCTGGATTTATCTGCCTGCCATTCCTTCCCCGCTGACCACAATCCATCTCTCCACTCCTATAGTCTGAGATTAGAGCAGGTAAGTCACGGGACACAGAAGTCTCCCCTGTCAGATTCCCTCCAGTTTTATGAATTCAGGCTTGGTCAAGGTTCCTCCTAGGTTCACCCAGCAGCTAGGTCATTCCTTCACCTTCCTTGAGAGCAGAAAATAAGGCCTCCAAACAAATTCAGTGGCGTGTCTTTCCTGTTAAGGGACTTTCCAAGATCCTCAAAGCCTGGTACTCAGCTACACAGCACTAAAGCCCCTATCTTCACTTCTTGCCTTCAGATGTTTAAGAACCAAACAGCTTTATGGTTTCAGTATACAGTAGGCATGCTCAGAATCAACTCTTATACAAGTTCCTCCATCCACTCTGGTCTTCTCCATTGGCCTGGCAATGTAGCACTGGTGAATGCATATGCCCAAGGGAACGTGAGGCAGATCTCAGTAAAGGAGTAAGTCTTCAAGCCCCGCTTTACGTCCCCACTACCTCCTTCATCTCTCTGCCAGGGAATCACCCATTTTCATGACCCATGACATAACTGTTTTCCTTGCCTAGTGTGAGCCTCATGAGGGAGAGGAGGACAGTGACTGGGTGTGACTGCAGAAGGCCTGGCACCACCCACAGATGCATCTAGAAGCTCAAGGAGTCTGCTTATATTTCCCATGCCTGTCAGACCTTTCCCAGCCATCCATGAATACCTAATGTGGGTATCTTGACCCACACAGGTGGGACTTGAGAGATGGCTCAGCGGTTTAGAGCACTAGCTGTTCTTCCAGAGGTCCTGAGTTCAATTCCCAGCAACCACATGGTGGCTGACAGCCCTCTGTGATGGGATCCGATGCCCTCTTCTGGCGTGTCTGAAGACAGTGTACTCACATATACTGACATACACAAAGTAATCTTCTAAAAAGTAGTGCTCTGACCTCAGAGGGCTCGGCACTGTCTCAATCTCCCCTCCCCACACTTCCTCTGCTTGGCACACCTTTGTTGGGTTCCTAGGATCTATGGCTGGCACCTGCTATCATCTTGTCTGCTCTGACTGGGACAGTATAAGCAGGGCTCATGCAAAGCTCCTCAGTGAAGTCTTGTGAAGTCTCTGGGAGCACTGATGGAAATGTGCCTATGCAATGACAACACGAGCTGGAATCTAAATTCTAGTCACCTCTAGGCACCAGGCCAGGGGTGCCAGGAGTCACCTTTAGAGGTCAGGAACATTTGGGTCATTTCTAGGGATTCAGTTGCCTCTGGAAAGCACTTCTCAGGGGCCAAGGATGCTCAGAGGCCTCCTCTATGGGGTCAGAGATCAAAGACATTTGGGGTATTGGGAGGTTATGTCTAGGGATCAGGGGCTCCTGGGGTCAGGGGTGCTGGGATCACCTCTGAGGGTTGGGCTCGTTATGTTTGTCCCGGTCGTGCTTGATCATGCGGTAGCGGCCTATCCGGACATCTGGACGTGAGATCTTCATCCCAGTCAGAGAGATCCTAGGATGGGAGACAGGCAGACTGAAGAGGCACCAGGAAGGGTAAGGAGCCCCATCCAGTCTGCGCCTCCTCACTCCCTGACCAGCTTGCACTCTGCCCCATCTCTGCTTACCGGTTGAAGATGTCATCATCCTCGCCGCCCCAGCCCCAGTACTCGTTGGGAAAGCCATTGATCCTCAGAAACTGGGACTTGCTCAGGCCTGACACACCTCCAAAGTAGCTAGCATAGGGCAACCTATGACACGGGAGAGCAGTTGTTAGGGTCTCAAGGGGAGTCAAGATGCAGGATCACAGAGAGTGTGTAGGGACCATATGTAAAAAGGACCCAGGGAGGATTTGCATTATGTAGAAGGATCTGAACCAGGGACCAAAGACTAGGAGGATACTGAAGCCGGGACTCAGGGCCTGGGTGAAGTGGGGGTGGGTATAGGTCTGAGTCTCACTAAGAGAGTCTCACCGGAAGCCAAACTTGTCCATGGCAATGGCAAAGTGGCGGGGCTGGTCACCACAGCGGTATAGATTGCGGTCATCCATAGGGACCAGGTCCACATCACTGAAGATGAAGCAGTCATAGGT